TTGCATTCAAGTCATTTAACTCAGTCATTGGATATTGAATACTTTAGTGTTTTGAAACAATCATATGATTCTCAGATTAAAGGATTTATCAAGGCTTATATCAATCATATCTCAAAGGTTGAATTCTTTATAGCTTTCAAAGCTGCATATCAACAATCAATTACAATTCAGAATATAAAAGCTGGCTTTCAAGAAACAGGACTAATACTATTTGACCCTCAAGCCATGCTCTCGAAATTAGATATTCGAATTTATACGCCTAGCCCTTTATCCACTCCCTCAGAACCTATCGATTCTTGGGTCTCTCAAACACCTCGCAATCCAACTGAAGCTTTTTCATAATCGACTTTAATCAAATCTCGAATATATTATTATCAATCAAGCTCTCCTATATCTATATTCGAAACTGTACTAGCTTTAATTAAAGACACAAAAAGATTAGTATATAAGAATACACTTTTAAATATAGAAATCTATATATTTCGAAAAGCAAATAAGATATTAAACAAACATCGATATACAAAAAAGACTCAATTATATCAAAGAGAAATATTTACTGAACAAGAGACTATAAATATATTATTTTAGCAAAAGATTGATATTCAGATTCTATGCGATAAGCATCAAAATGGAACGAATTCTAATAGGGAAATATCTTCTAGTAAATACTATAGTAAGTATAGAAAACCAGATTATAATTCAAGAACTTATTCTAGTAATGTAATAGATCCTAGATTATTAGATTCCTAATAGTTTCAATCAATTGATTCAATTGTTGTTGAATAATATGGTTTTGAAGTTGTAAATTGAGGTAAAAGTGATCCATGTACTGATATGATCCACGTACTGATAAACCACGTTAATTGAAGTATTAATTAATAAAATTATTTTTATGTATTTCTAATATTGAGATAATTGTTTTATTGAAATAAATATTTTGAGATTGAAATTGAATACATGTTATTTAACTGAGTGTATGGCGTGCAACTGGCCATATTAAAACGGCTAGCCAACAGATTCACTTAGTCTTAGATGGGCTGCGCAAATACAGTTCGCAATGCCTATAACAATATGAACAGCCATACTACTACTACCCCTTATCGATATGTACTCGTATAGGTACATTAGTATATTTCAACTTCAATTTCCATCCATTTTGACCCATTCTCTCTCCAGTATTCCGCTCCTCTCAACAGCATAGCCCTAGGAGCTCCACCAGTTCTCCTTCTACCTCGCAACATATGCATTGAATAGGCCTATTATCCACTAGAGAGATCCTCTATATCAAACAAAATCGCAATACATCGAACCGAATCAAACTAAACCAAAAGGGGAGAAAAAAAGACATTCAATCACAAATCAGAATATACCCATACAAATCACATTAACATAGTGAGTGATACATGGAATGAACCACTGCTATTAACTCTGTCTCTTTCACAATACTCGAGTACACAAGCCATGGGCTAATCAATAGAATAAAGCCACTCAAACAATAATATATTTATATAGTATATAGCTTCTTCGCATTTAAATGATTGTTATATGAAGTTACCACCGATTTTAACCACCTCATTCAATCCAATATCGTATACCGAGGACCAAAAAACGAAAGATTTCACAGACACCACTGAACTATATTGCCTTGCTTGCATCCAACCATTCTGCCTTGAATCTTTCACCCAACATCAACATCCTTCCGCTTCCCCCATATCCCACCACCACACACCCAATCCCCAACAACCATCACACCTCCGTCTGAACCAACACGTCAACACCCAAACCTAACCAATACTAATCGGCAACAAAACCAGCACCCCATTCGCCACATTCAAGCAACTCAACGTCAACAACCCCGCACTCGTACAACAATAATCGCCCTCCTTATCGCCACCACCCGTACGCGCCTCAATTGCTCCTTCAGCATCACGCTTGCCAATACTAATAGGAATACTGATGCCAACCCCATTCAACACATTGGTGCATGTAAGGAGCCCGAGTAGGTCGCTAGATTTGCATGTGTATTTGGCGCCAGCACAGGCGGGGACGCCGGTGGGTGAGGTGCTGCCCCAGGTGGAGGTGGGAGCTCCGCCGCCCTGAGGGGGGGAGGGGGTGTTAGTATATCGGTATAGTTATGTGAGCGTTGGGGAGGGGGGTTGGATTAGAGGGGGGAGAGTGAGAGGGAGAGGGAGAGGAAGAGGGGCATGGTGCTGGAGAGGAAACTTACGCTAGGATACGCAGCGACGGTGAGAGCGAGGACACTCGAGATCATAGCGGTGATTGGGGCGTGCATATTGAATGATGTTGAAGGGACGATGTAACGTTTGACGAGAAGAAGTTGTTAAAAGTTGAATTCTTGACTTTGAGTCTTGAAGAAAGTAATCGATAGATGGATGGATGGATGGATGCAGAAATTCCACTTGGGAATCCACACGCTCTTTATAGTAGACTCACGAGGGACGTCTTCCCATTTCCTGGTCCCAAAAGTTACTCCCAGCTTTCAGATACAGGTTCTGCGACCTAGGAGGCTACTGCACGTACCGTACTACGTAGGTGTAATCCCATCGCCGTCGAATGTGGAAGACGGCTTGCTAGGAGGGGGGGGAGAGGGACCTAAGCTGCTCTTACTTCACCAGGTCTCTCTCTAGCTCTAGGACTGGAGTTGCATTGCATCTGACCTTATCAATAGTATCTCGAATGACGATCATAACCGTATCAAGGAAACCCTCAAATCCTGAATAGGAGGCATCTTCTGGATATGGTATGATATAATATGATATATTATGCATACCGTGCCTATTCTTGCTCCCACACATACCGGTATATCAATCTGTCGGATGTACTCGACTATACATACACACAAGATTGCAGTATTGAAAGAAAAGCGTTACATAGAACTTTTCGATAGCATAGCGCCTCGCGCCGAGTAGCTGATCCTAGCTAGCCCATTGAAGAAACCATCCCATCGTATCAAACCAAGTCTGCTTCCCGTTTACAACATCAACATGAACATGCATAGCATAGCCCGCAGCCCCAACAGCAAGAATATCCATAGAACATAAACATAAACAAGGACTCCGTCAAACAAAACAAGAGTATCTATCATCTAGTCTAGAACAACTCAACCGCCCCCCAAGAACGCCGATCCTCACCTCTTAGAAACTGCAATGGTAGTCTTCGTATTGGCATTACAACTGCATTGCATGTACGGTATGAAAATTCCTGCTTCGTTGATGAGAATGGTAGGATGGATTAGGATATACCGGTATCATATTCCATTACATCTCCTGACATTCGCTAATATTCGTCTCTTTTGTATTTTTCGTATCGGGATAGTGTAGTGTTGAATCTGTATGGTTGGTTATCTTAGTTGGATTTGGAAAGGATATAGATGAAGTGATGAAGTGCGGAAACAAGAATAGTAAGTCAGATGAAAAATCATATGATATACTCGTATTAGGTAACAATACGACCCAAAACACCACTCACCAGCACCACTCACCAGCACCAACAAGATCCTCACTCACACTTCACACCTCGCACTTCACACTTCAAACTCTTCATCCGATCCGATCCCATACCATCCCATATGATTCTCACTCACAGTCTTACAACCATCCAAGCCAAGCAAGAACCCAAAAATAAACCTCGCCCCTATTCTCCACCTACGTAGTGAGGTAGACTAGGCCGGTTTCTTATTATCCAATGACATTTCATTAGTACATGATTCGAGATAGATTTGTTCTGCATACCATTCATCCATCCATCCATCCATCTATTCTACCAAACGGGCCTTTCCTTCCCTCCTTCCCCCCCTCCTTCCCCTTCTTTTCTTCCCTTCTTTTCTTCCCTACCTTTCTTCCCTCCCTCCCTTCTTTACATCCTCACTCCACAAATCCATAAATCCATACACCCACATCCCTCAATACCAGCCACCAGCCACTAGTCACGAGCACTAGCAGGTAAACCAGATGCCACCCTTCTCCAATCCCCATCCCAATCCCTATCCCCATCCCTACCCCCATCCCAGACTCCATTTCCCCAGTAAGTCCTACCCCAACCTACCCCACAACAAAATAGACATCTTCCAAAAATACTCTGTAGGATTACATCCAAACTTCCACACCATCCCGAACTCATCCCCTGCGGAACCTTAACCCCCTGTCCCGAAACGTCACAATTACTAGGTACACATCACCCAAAAACCATCACCCAAAAACCATCACCCAAATCCACATCACACAAACCACCTAAAAACATCACCAAAACAACAAAACAATCCATCCATCCATCCATCCATCCATCCACCACCCAGCGGCCGCATGACGCGTGACGCACTGCATGCACAGCACAGCGCATGGCGTTCGTGATAAATCTTACGATTTTTTCCCCGGCCCCCAAGCCAATACTACACTACATACATCACACCGTTACATTGCCTCCCTCCCAAAAACAAGTTTTTATATTATTATTTTTCAGCTCGATACTATTTTTTTCTTTGTTAAAAAAAACTCCAAAAAATTAATACTATACTATACTAATGATATATGTTATCAAAACTCACCTGATATACTCGAGTACCTACTTACCGGTATAAGAAGGATGCTGGGAGAAAATGAAAAATGTAACGGGCCCTCGTATGAAAGCTTTTAAAAGATTTGGTCTGGCCAGTGGCGATTTGAGTTTACCTTGTTATAGATAGATCATACCCTGAAAGCTATTGAATAATCTCTCGTATGGTACAGTAGACCCAAAAAGATGAGGTGTAAACTGGTTCAAATTCAACACATGGTATCTTCATTATTATCTTCCTACTTGTCTTTTCTAACCTCGTAGGTACATCCACTTCTCCACATGCTATGAAATTAACTGATCTCCCAAAAGTACCCGCGAAATTTAGATCGGGAAATTATGTTCACCCATCGGTAATATTTTCCCCTCCTTACTATACATCCTCCACAATGATATCAAGAAAAGTTCAATCGAAACGCCATTAGAATGCTCCTCCTCAGCATATGCTCGCTTTACCGCTATACTGCATATCGCCCATCAAGATTTTGGTATCCTATATTTTATCAATCCCTCGCGGACGCACTTGTGTACCTATAACTTTGTTTATAATTGTTCCAACTCCATCCCTCATGCAAACATAAAAAATATCCCCAATTCCTTTCATCATTTCTTCTTTCCCTTATCCTTTTTCCCTAGACCCGATGTACCAAGAATATCATCGAAAGTGGATTCTTTTCTTCCGGCTGAAGATGTCGGTCGACCATCTGCATGGAAGCTGGCGACACTATTTCGACTGATGACACTGTTGCGACTGTAAGGAGATGCGGTTCTTCGACCCATGGCGCTTACGGGTGATTCTCGTCCACCTGGTGAGTCTGATCTGAATCCATGTTCCATGCTGCCCGGAATTGGCAACATTTCCAAACCTAGCATCACGCTATTCCGCTTCGATAGACGACTGGTGCTACGATTATCAACTCCAAGCATACCGTTACTCGCAACGCTAGATCTTCGAGAAGATTCATCACGACCTCGACTATCTGGTCGGCTAGAGCTTCCACCAAAACCAGGAGGCGGTGCTAGTGGTGACATTGATCCTTCTTCTTGGTCCATTGGTGAAAATGATTGAGAGAAGTCGTTGGCTTCTGATTTATTAATCCATTTCTGCGCGATAGTCCAACAATGTGATCTTCGATAAACACCTTCTGTACCATAATTGACGACGTCGCTAGGCAAGCTGACCACACCTTGACCACCCTGAACTCCATACCATGCCATCTTTACACCAGATGAATCTTCCAACCATGGTAAGTTTCCTAGTGGCGGTTGGCACAAGAAGTAGTCCACTCCTTCAGTATATCGTAGATTTTCCACATCTACAACAAGCATGGGAAGTGATTGGATGACTGCATAGAGAAACAACCAATGACCATATCTTTGGTCGGACAATTCCTGAACATTTTTGCCCTTGGACTCTTTTTCTTCAAAAGTTTTGAACATCTCCATGAATGGGGTTTTCTTGTCAGTATCAAGGTTATGACTCTTAGCCAAGATGAGAAGTAGTTCGTATTCCTTGAGTCTTCGAGTTGATGCCTTGTGTTGGTCTTTGGGCGATAGAAGGGGGAAGCCAGGTTCAATAGATGCTATAGTCGGAACTCGGGGAACATCGAATGGAATAGGTGGGAGAACTGGTGGAGAAGATCTATCAAATTCAGCCAATACCTTTCGTGCTGCTAAATGAATTGGGTTAGCATGGGCCGCATCCTGGTCATCCGAGTCCATAGATCGAGTTGTTATGGTTTCGTGATCGGCCATAAAGTCGTAAAGGTTGCACATATCGGTGTAAAGCTGCTTGAGTACTTGACGATTCAAGCCTCCTTCGACGAATTGATTCTTGGTCCTTTGCTTTGGTGGCCATTGGCCATGTACAATCTTGTAGTACGATAACATATGCCGCCTCATGCTTAGATAGTTTGTCCTCCAATTTTGAAATCGAGCTATTTTCGATTCTGCGCTGGTTTTCGATGATGCCGCACCGGAAAACAAAGCAGGGTATTCGAAATCAACTAATCGTTCCTCGGCACGTTTTTGTCGCTGGGAAAGCTCCAAGGATGCTCGTTCCAACCGATCGCGTGTATTGTTCGAAATCTCCTTGAAGAGGCTTGATTTGAGATCCTTAATTGAATGCCATTTACCAGCCGCATGTACGAATGCCTCGTGATATAATTCTGTGGATCTCATTCGTTCTCCTATTACAAGTGCTTCGATGTTCTTCTCTCGACCCTGTCTGACATCTGCTAAACGAAACTCGTCCAAAAAAAACGCAAAGCTAGCTGCTGCTGCTTCTCCATATGTTGATCCATCAAAGTTGCTGAATTCGAACTTTTGTAATATTGCGGATACGGCCAAGAATATATAATATATGGTAGGGCAAGTCTTCGTAGCTACGAGCGGTTGGCCTGTCATAAATGCGAAGAAATTTCGAACATTCACAAGATTTTGAATATCATCGGGAGTGAATTTAGTCGGATCATCAGTGGATAATTCTGTTGGGAAATACAGATGAATCTCCCCACTGCTTTCAGGAAATTGATTCATGTAATCTGAAGACGCTTCGGAGCCGGTTGGTCCATCGACTGGAGTGTATGGAGGTGTGCCTGTCTGAGTTGGAGCGTCCGGACTTTGCCTACCAGCGGAATCAGAGCTTGTTGACCTGCGCTTGGCAACACTGCTAGTTATAAGTTCGTAAAGAGGTCGAGATGATGATAAAATCAAGGAGGGAACCTTGAAAGATGGTCCATGACTGAATGATTCCGGGAAAACGTGTACAAATGTGTCGCAATATTCCTCCCACAATTCTGGGACCTGTTGTCATCCGTCAGCCACAATGCCAATTAGGAATCCGACGCTCGCATCATTCATTACCTTCTCGCCATTTGTTACGAGCGATATATTGTAATCAATCTTTTGATCCCCAGCAATCACCCAAGCAGATGATCTACCATCTGTGCCGGAATGTGATGATGAATGTCTTGACTTTGTCTTTCCGGGGAAGAAACTTCTTCGTCTGGTTACCTTGGCACTATTCTCACCATCGGAACCGTATGAAGGTGGTCGACTGGAGACTGGAGAAGATACAGTTCTGTTTCCATTACCACTGATCGCCGAGAATGGAGATGGAGGTGCAAGAGAGTTCACATTCGAAGCGGAACCATGTCTGCCTCTCCGTTCTGTAAGTTGATTGACAGGTGGTTCGGGTACATCTGGCGATGGTTGTTCTTTTTGTAATTTGCTTGGCGCTTGTTCAGTCGGTGGTGCAGGCGGAGCACTAGTGGGCATAGGAGGGATCGCGGGAACGGGGGGAATATCTGCAGAGGGTTCGGGGGATGGTAATTGTCGAATAGGAAGGTTGGAATTTTGAGGTAGTGGCGGAGGTTTCTCTTGGTTGAATTTAGAGTCTGTTTCTACAAAAATATTTGGAAGATAGGCTGAAATGCGATGCAAGCGGGAGACGGATTTCGACCTCTTCTTTGGACTAGAGCTCATCTTGAGTTCTGCTAGTTCTAGCTCAGGTACTCCCGCAGTAGCTACCGCCTCTAACTTCTTTTCAGAATGCTCCGGGACAATATCAAACAGGATTGGAGTACGAGTACTTTTTGAAGAAGACTTGATTTTGTGAGGCAAATGGTTGTAAAGGAAAGATGACTTACTCAACGTCATTTTGTGAGACGTTCTCCCTTACTCTTGAATAAAAATCGAATAGGGAGGATCTGCGAAAGTAGTGGAGACGTGGAATATATAATTCTGCTTTGCACTCTATTATTTTTCTCTTCTCATGGGTTCCAGAAATTCCAGAAATCCCCATGAAAGGTAGGTTTAATTGTGGATGATCGAATTGTGCAATTGTGGCGGTATGTGGTTATTTCGTTATTTGTTCGACGTGAAACAGTGGGCTCATAGGAGGCTTTGTTTGAGATGGAGTCGTTCAACTCGTTCAATTCATTCAGTTCGTTCAGTTCGTTCAATTCGTTCAATTCGTTCAACTCATTCAAACCCTTTTCGAATGGTCAAGGGTGACGCGGCAGCAATGGTGTATGTGGATTATCTTTTCTTCGAATTTCCAAAGTGGATAAAGATGGACAACGGGGATGAGGGATGGTTGAAGTAAATGTCTTTCTTTCCCGAGATTCTATTTAATTAATTAATAAGAGTCAAATTCCCTACTCAGTTCGAATATTTTACATACCTATAACTGAGTATAAAGGTCCTCCTATCGTAACTCCGCGTGACAACCGAAGCTGCGGTTGATTGATAACCTGGGTCGTCCTTGTGAGTGATTCAGCAAGTATTGTAGCTGGTTCGTGTACTGAATCCGAATCTGAATTGGAGAGGTTGTCGTTTGTTGCAGAATATATCTATTGTAGTTATTATGATCTGAATCAACATTTGGTAGGTGTAGGTAGTAAAGTAAGTAAGTGTAAGGCGTGTGTGGCAGAGGATTCAGATTCCATATGCAAAGTGATGATGATGCGATGCCAAGGATCTACAAACTTTTATACTTTTGCACTGCCGAATGAATGAATACTAGGTATCTTACTTACTCTTACTGTACTATTTATTTCCATTTGAACAACTCGTATAAGAACCGGATCTCTGTACGAGTATCTCTCTTCATCTTGTATGGCATTGAGTGAATGAATCAACCAATGACTCCCAAATCAGAAAATTAATCAAACATGAAATCTCTCATTTGAAACAATTCTTGCACCAACTAACTTGTGGTCCATGAGCCAAGGAGACGCCCAGGAAAAGGTCTCCAAGATCACCCAAGGAATATCTACAAATGTCTACCTATGTAGATACATACTAGAAAGAGGGAGAAGGTTGTTACTGTACAGTATTATAATGAATAACTGGCTGTGTCGGTTGTGTTGGTTGTGTCCGCTCTGTCTTGCACTTGCTTGTTGTGGTTGTTCTTTCAAGCATCTTTTGGTTATTGACACAAGACACATGGAGATTGGAGATGAAATGAAATAAACATCTCGGAAGATCAAATCAAATGTTCATGAATTTCTATATAAGGTTAGAAAGTTGTGGCTGAGACTGAGACTTCTGGTGTAATGATTATATCAGGAGGAGGAGGAGGAGGTGGGTGTTGAATTCATTCATTATCACGGAATTGAAGATTAAAAATAGTATACACGTTCTCCGTGTCTCCGTTATCTCCGTATCCGAATAACTTCTTTCTAGAGAGAAAACCCTTTTTGATACATGCGCAGGTTATACCAAACACTATTGATGCAGTGTTCACTTCTTTCAACAAAGAGTTAAATACTTTTACGTATCGTATCGATATTGATTGATATTGATTCATAATAGCTGACAAGCTAGGCATGAAGAAAGTCCAGTTAAAGAACCACAAGGTCTAACTTGGGGTTTCTAGTCGTCGAAAGAAAGCTTCTAGTCCTGATACATCAAATCTATTTATATTTCATTACAGTTATCCACTACTGTATGTCTTTTACGGAGTCCCTGGATTTTCAAACGTCATTGTAGTCTCAAGAAACAATGGTACCCATAGCAAGCTAAAGCTCCTTATAGCAAATTTGTTACGGCTCACTCGGCTTTTCCAGCGTTAACACTGAGTGGCTTTGAACTAGAGTTAAATGCGTTATCTGCCCTTCCTTATCCGGATAACCGGGATTTTGATTGGGGAAAATGTATCCCTTAATCTTTTGAGTATATCTTCATGTTTTTTTGGATTTCCTGCCCGCCAAGAGGAGAATAACATGTGAATTGGAAGTTCCATACAAACAGATGGAATAAGTAATCTTTGGACTCCACTCTTGGCATCCCCTCTCCCAACTTTTACTTTAAGCCAAGGAATGAAGGACATCCGTGCCTGTTCCCTATAAACTCTAATATCCGTTACAAAAACAAAAACTCCTAGATGCCCCACATTGAATTTCCTTTTATATTTTAATATATCATCAGGTGGTCATGGTCACAATTCTTCGAAAAATTGAATACAAACAGTACCATTTAACGATACCGAAGACAGTGGAGCTTTCCTTACGGCAGAGAAGAAAATGGAGATTGGGCAGCAACGGAAACCGAAGAAGATACGATTCCGGTCTTCAAGCTTCGAGGGCACGATTACTGCTAACTTCTGCTATTGGTATACTTGCCTATTACTATCGAGTTTTACGTTGTAATCATGTGCCGGTATCCCTCCTGGCCAATTGAAAACGTGTGTACTCTTCCGATAGCACGGCACGGCACGGCACTTACAACATAGTCCTTCGTTGGTGGCGTAAGTCTGAATCTACCACCAAACATTCGACAAATTCGATGATTATTATGAGCATAAGAATACATTCGAAACATAGCACTTTCCTCTATGCTATCATATAAATCAGCTACACGATCTCTTCATTTTGAATGTCATCAATATCATACACAACTTGTTCATTCATCGTTCATGATAGATGTGCGACGGTGACATTTTGCGGGGGTAGCGTTGATACCGTTTTACCCCATGTAATCTGTCAGAAGCTTGTTTATTACCTACCTAGGTATACCTAGGTAGCTTTCCCGAAAGCTCGGTCATCCACAGAAATTTCAAACCCTTTATCATCGAATGAAGCTTCCCGGATATCATTTATTACCAGATAAGGCCATATATCTCCACAGGGAATAGGTTTCCCGACGAATCAGAAATCGCGGGGTCTCCACGAATGCGTATTCACCTTGGCAAATTCCCTCACGGCGATAGTTCAAAATGGAAATGATCGCTGGCGATTCTCCCCTCGGTACTGTCAGTGTGACATGTAAGATTTCAAATCTTTTCCCACACGCATGAATAAAATGAAGCTGTGATCGCTTTTCTTTTCCTTCTCCTTTCACAACGTTTTTTGTACTTTGTACTTGTCAATTACAAAGTGATATCGTGTCGCTTGAACCAATAGCTTTTCTCTCTATTGGCGCAGTGAACCCGAGAGAGTAACAGCACAGCGGAGCTTTAGTCGATCAACCTTCTAGAAGCAAGTGCATTTTTGATCTCGGAAAGTCTTAATTCTTCTAGTCCGACTTCCAACCAAGATGGCCGAATCCGAAAAAGCAAACGTTACCCACCTAGAAGCTGCTCATGAACCCCCTTCGGCTCAAAATGGGTATTATGTAAATAACGAGATCGAAAAAAGACTTGTGCGGAAGCTGGATAGAAGACTTATTCCTTTAGTGATGGTGTTGTGTAAGCAATATCCCACCCACATCTTTGCCAACGGGGCTCCACTGACTTTAATAGATCTTCTATCATATCTTGATCGATCAAATATTGGGTAGGTCAATGATAAAATGAATAGTGTCATATTTCTAACACAGGCATAGCAATGCTAAAACTGCCGGCATGTCGAAAGAACTCGACCTTTCGAGTTCCCAATACGAATGGTTATTGACAATCTTTTACATTGCATACATCGTATTCGAATGGTTCGCTTTGATGTGGAAGGTACTACCTCCACACATATGGGCTTGCTTTTGTGTTGTTGGATGGGGTAAGTCCTTCTTTTCACGCTCCATCATGTCTCAACTTTGCATTTACCTCATCATGTACATCCTCTTCACTCGTACCGCTTTGCTTTATTTCCCTCCCACAAGTATTCCTTGCTAGGTAGTTACTAACTCCCCGATGTTGCAGGTACCGTCGCCACTCTTCAATCTACTGCACAATCATGGTCAGGTATGATGGTAGCTCGATTCTTCCTTGGGTTTTTTGAAGCCGGTTACGGTCCCGGTATTCCATACCTCTTATCCTTCTTCTACCTGCGCCATGAAATCGGTATAAGAATCGGTATCTTCCTAAGTGCTGCACCCCTGGCAACGTGTTTTGCAGGTGCATTGGCATATGGTATCACCAGTGGACATGCTGCAATTGCGAATTGGCGTCTTCTATTTTTAGTTGAGGGTCTTCCATGTGTAGCTGTCGGTATCCTCACATTCTTTGTCTTACCTGATAGTCCCGAGAAAGCACGATTCCTGAATGAAGAAGAGAGGGCAGTTGCAAAAGCTAGAGGTGTGAGACAAGTAGGCGCCGAAGAAGAACATCGTATTGGAGGTGTTAAATGGGCTGATATTGCCGCAGCTCTTGTGGATCCCAAGGTATGTCTCATCTTACGTCGTCTGCTTCTTGAAGTTTAAACTCTAATGGTATAATTAGAATTACCTCACAGCCATGATGTACTTCTCATGCAATGTCTCGTTTAGTTCTCTCCCCGTGTTCCTACCCACTATCCTAAACGAGATGGGCTTTTCCGCCATCAACGCCCAGGGTTTATCCGCCCCACCATATTTCCTCGCGTTCCTCCTCGTCATCCTCTCTACTTACATTGCGGATCGAACTCAACAGCGTGGTTATGTGATCATGTTCCTCTCGGCTCTTGGTGCCATCGGATACATACTACTGGTAAATATCACAGCATTAAACACCCTCTCTAATGAATATTTCATGCTGACGTTTGCAGGCTTCCACTTCTTCGGTTGGTCCTCGGTATACGGGAGTTTTCCTCGCCGCCGCAGGAATCTTCCCTGCCATAGCTAATATCCTTCCTTGGGTCTTGAACAATCAAGGCTCGGACACTAAACGCGGTACTGGAATTGCACTTCTAAATATCATCGGTCAATGTGGTCCTCTTCTTGGCACGAGACTCTATCCAGCTGTAGAAGGACCATACTATCGCAAGGGAATGTGGGTTTGTACTGCTTTTGTCATCTTAAATGGAATTCTAGCTCTGGTATTGAGAACATTATTGAACTGGGAAAACAAGAAATTAGATAAGCTATATGGTGAGGTGGGTAGAAGAGATGCCAATGGAATGGTGATGGGCGAAGATTCCAAAACGGGAGAGATGATCGAGATGGGTGCTGGAGTCGGGGATGAGAATGATGGGCCTAGGTTCAGATATGTTTTGTGATCTTCGGGGGACATTGGATATGGACATTGGATATGGTGATATACTTTGTACATCACAATAGATGAAGAAGAAATAAGCTTCTTGGCTAATTTCTTGGCAAGCTTGGCTGAATCGCCGGCTTTACCGGGCAATGGGTATCGGTAAACTGAGCCGGAACGATTCCGACATTAAGATCGGTGAGGAATTGTTATTACTTTTCCATGAGTTACCAATCTTCTGAATGTGCACATCTTCATCTTTCATCAAGTTTATCACAAGGTTCGGATAATGATGTCTCTGACTATACCTATTTCACAACTTTTAATGCAAGAATCTTTATGGTTCATGGAAGGTTATCCAATTGCTAAATATACGGGGCTCATGTGCCTTGAACAAGTATTTATTTCCACTCTGGTGGTTGCCCCGTCAGAGGTACAGTAAACAATCTTTCGATGGAGCTCCGCAAATGTTATGATTCTTGACTTTTATTCGATTTATCAATTTATCACTTTTGATGTGAAGGTTACTCGTTACTCTCAATTATACTTTGAAGAGCCTGAGATCTTTCACTACTAATTTATCCTTCGCATCAACGGAAATTGCAGGTCGAAAGCTTTTGTAGTTCTCTAAAGGCATCCCTAATTCATTTCACTCATCCCTGACACGCCACCCCGCAAGGCTCTAAACCTCACTACGATAGCCTCGCAAATCTTTTGTCACCGTAAACAAACCAAACAATACTCCAATTCATAATCTCTACTACATCAATGCATAGCGAACGGTTGGTAATCCTTTTCATTCCAATATACTCACTCCATCTAATTCATCCTTGAGCCTCAATGACCAACACACTCCATAACAGTTTTCTCCGAGCGCTTTTCCCTCAACAATTTCCTGAAGGCCAAAGATCTTTGAGTCATCGCAATAAACGCATCAAACATATCCATGAACCTTCACCGGAAGAAGTATTTGAAGAAGAAGACCCTGAGGATCAGGGAGGTGAGGGAGACGAAAACCAACTTCGCCAAGAACATAAAATTTGTGCGAAAGCAATGATGAGGAGGAAGATGGCGGGACGTGTTACTATTGATCCGGATGGGGATTTGTTATTGATATTGAATGAGCGGGAAAAGACGCCTAAGAAGAAGACGACGATGGTTGCGCCAGTATCAATTGATGATTCTGCAATTGGTATTGAGACGGGTACAGATGGGGAGGTGGCGGAATCGGCGGAGGAAGATGGCTATCATGGTGATGCGGAGAAGGAGTTTAAAGAGAAGGAAGTGAATGAAATAAAGGAAATCCACATGTTGGTTTCATCGAAGCATATGGTACTCGTTTCGCCAGTATTCAAAGCTATGCTCCAATGGAACAATTTTAAGGAAGGATACGCCTTGAAATCCCATGGAAAAGTCGAGGTTCCATTACCTGACGATGATCCGGAAGCTATGCGGATATTAGTTGATATCGTTCACTGTCATCACAAGGATGTTCCTCGAAAAGTCAAGCTCAGCTTGCTTACCCATCTTGCTATCTTGGTGGATAAATACCGGTTACATGAAGCTGTGCAGATATATTCCGATATGTGGATTTCACATGCTCAAAAGAGGTTTCCTTCAACGATGGCGGATGATGGGGTGGAGGTTTGTCTTCAATGGCTTTGCATCTCTTGGGTTTTTGAAAGACAACGGGATTTTACATCGATGACGAGGATTTTTCAACAGGAGAGTACTCAGAGTTTGTCATCGATGATCTCATCATCTGCTTGGGATATTCCCGTATCTATGGCTGTCATCGGTACGTAACCTCAGCTTCAGGCCTTGTAATCTGAAAACTAACAAAGACCTAGACAACATCGAGCAAGACCGAATCCGAGCCCTCGACGAAGCAATCTCCGCTCTCAGAGATACCATCGAAATGTATCAAAGCTCAACTCTCGTCTGCCGCAGTCGTCCTACGCACCTAGCCGTCGAGCAAATGTTCCAACACAACAAACAATGCGACGCCATGGTCTTGGGAATGTTGATCAAAGAAGCCCTCTACCATAATCTCTATCCACTCCCAGAAGCTCCATACACGGGTCATTCTTTCATGAGCATTTATGACAGTTATCAAAATTTCGAAATCAAGAATGCGTGTGAAGTGGTACTGTTGTGTACGAATTCTCACTCCTCCAAGGAGATGAATGAGACGAAACATGTTTTTGGGAGTGTGTTGATGGATTTGTTGGGGCCGATTGAGGAGAGTTTGGATGGGCTGGAACTTGATGGGTTTAAAGTTTCGTTGGGTTTGGTTTAAGTTTGGGGTGATAAATGATAGGTGATAGGTGATGGGTTCAGGAGTTTTGGCATAGGAGTAGGAATTGGAGTTGGATAATGAAGTTACGCTTATCTATCTTATTCTGGGAAACTAGCGGGGTTATGTTCATTTATATTGTATACCTACAATACATCTGACGTCAAACCCCTTCATGAAGTATATTCTTTATTCTTATGATTCGATTATCGATATAGGTATCTACTCTATAGCCTATACTGTACATACTCGAGTAGGAGAGGAGACTAGCACTTCTAAGGTCTCACACTCACACTCGCTGTAATATACGAGTATATATATTAGGTATACATATATATTTCTACTCGAGAGTATATCGATCATTGCTTGCTTGCTTGTCAGATTCCGATATTATATCTTATTATACTAACGTGGTTTATCAGTGGGTCGGCCATATCAGTGGGTCGGCCACTTTTACCTCGATTTATTATTCTACACTTAATACACGTTTTCTTAATAATTAATTATGGAAATTCATTCTAAAGAAGCACGAATAATCTTAGCTATTAAAACTATTGAATCAAATCCAAAATTAACAATTCGGAAGATAGCTCAGCTCTATAGTATGCCTCGATCTATATTGGGTGATAGAATTCGAGGTAAACCTAATATAGCTGAAAGTCGATCAAAAAGCTATAATTTGACTGAATTGGAAAAGGAGGTTCTTATTCAATATATACTCGATCTGGATGAGAAAGGATTTACACCTAAATTAAGTGATGTAAAAGATATAATGAATTATATATTCGAATCGCAGGGTGTAAAGAAGATTGGAAAGCTCTGGGCTCATCGCTTTGTAAAACGATGTTCAGAACTAAAGACGCGTTTTAATCGCATTTATGATTTTCAAAGAGCTCTCTGCGAAAATCCAGAGCTTATTGAAGGATAATTCCGATTAATATCGAATATACAGGTAAAATATGGTATTCAGGACTGTGACTTCTATAATTTCAACAAAACCGGTTTTATGATAGATATAATATACCCCAGAATAGTTATAACTGATACTGAACAATATAGTAGAAGCAAAGCAATACAATCAGGCAATCGAGAATGGACTACAGCGATTATATATGGTAATGAAGAGGGTTGGATTATATCACTATTTTTAGTAGTGCAAGAACAATATCATTTTTCTAATTGATATACGGAAAGCGATTTTCCTGCAGATTAGGTTATTAAATCTATTTCTAATAGATGGATAAATAATAAGATAGATTTAGATTGAATAAAGCACTTCGATAAGCATACTATTCATCGAAGGAAGGGCAAATATCGAATGCTAGTATTGGATAGGCATAAAAGTCACGAATCAATACCTTTTCAGTTATATTGCAAATTAAATGATATTATATACATAAAGTTACCATTGCATTTAAATTATCTAATCTAATCACTTAATGTTGGATGTTTTAGTATATTAAAACGAGCATATAATTCACAAATTGAAGGATTTATCAAGGCTTATATCAATCATATCTCTAAGGTTGAATTTTTTATAACTTTCAAAACTGCATATCAACAATCGATTACAATTCAGAATATAAAAGCTGGCTTTCAAGGAACAGGACTAATACCATTCGATCCTCAAGCTATACTCTCGAAATTGGATATTCGAATTTGTACACTTACCCTTTTACCCATTCCCTTGGAATCTGCCGATTCTTGGGTCTCTCAAACACCTTATAATCCAACTGAAGCT